AAGTTAATATATCTACCAGACCATGTAGGTTTCCTAAACCAATTAGTGATAAGTTTATTGCCTGACCTAATGACTTTTACATTAAGAAAGTTGATCGACGAATCAATCTCATTTCAATCTCGTGTGTGAAACGTAAACGTTCATGGTAATTATTGAAAATCGTTAGAATCTCGTCGACTTTTGTACGTGGCAAGATTGCGAAAACGTCATCTACATATCTATAATAAATAGGCGCCGCAAAATTAAGTGAATTTAAACATTGCGTCTCCAGATCGTCCATCACCATATCTGCTAAAATAGGTGATAGTGGGGAATCCATAGGAGTGCCGAAGATCTGTTCATAAAAACGTTCGTTGAAAGAACATAAACTTTATTTTCAGATAAAGTTTAAGTGCTACACTTTTGTGTTAATTTTTAAACATATTACTTGTGTTATTTATTTACATACTTGCCTTTTGTTAAATTAACAATTAAAATTAGAGTGGATAAATTGGGACATGTGAAATATGTTAAATTTAACACAAAATTTTTTACTGTGTGATCTTACTAATAATAAATGGATGACTTTTTTTGTCCGATACGTTGATCCGGAGACATTAGATGTTTGCTCGCAATTAGTTAAATTACGTTAAAAGGTTATATAAACGTAGTTAGAATTGTTCGATATTAACCAAAAACTGTTTGCAGTCGCCGGTTAAATATCGTCGCATTGTCGCGTCGTATAATAACGCATATGCGCGTGTCTTTCTTTAATCGAATGATTTTTAATTGCCAACAGTGATTATTTGACAGTGATTGATAGTGATTAGTGATAGAGTCATTGAAATTAAATTTTTCATCTTATCGAATGAATGAATGAATGTATGTTGAAGTTTATAAAAGAATACAGTTTATCTCTGTCTTTTAGAACGTGATATCTACGTTCAATTGAATGAAAGTATGAACTATCGGAAAATTCATTTCTCAAGAAATTACAGCAATACATCGAACAAAGTAATAATAACTATTCTTTGATGTTGTATGAAAACAGATTTCGGGATGTCAAATAAACAGTGTTAGAGAAAATTCGCGAAAGAGATGGTTTTTAGTAGGGAGTACGGAGTTAGTAGTTTGACTTGGTATTCCAGTATCACATAACTCACCGGTTCGCCCGGTGAGTATGCATAAAATGCATTTTCCCTTCTCTCTAAAAAAAACGGTACAATATAAAAAAATAATAATAATTAAAGTTAAAATATATAATAATAAAAAGTAAATAATAATTTAAGTAAGAATAATAATAATGTCAAGTAAGTAAGCAAATGCGAGAGAGAGAGAGAAAGAATAAGAATCATGATCGCGCCACTCTTGCCTGCCTCTTGTATCCGTCATAAGTTAATTACTTCCTTTAATAATTCAAAAACTCAGCGTCAGTCGAAATTTCGCCAAAGGAAAAATCGTGTTAGAATTGACTCAAAAATGTGTTATTTCATGGACAATATGGTTATTTCGAATTACCCTGTATATATTATGTGTGTGTGTGTATGTGTGTAAGGAAATATGTAAATAATATTTTGACCTTTTATCAATTAGAAAATTGATTATATTTTATTATTTTATTATAATTTTATTTTTTATTTTTATTTATTATTTTATTTTTATTTTATTTTTATTATTATTCATTTATTAAATTTTTTACATTTCCTTTTTAACATAAGAGACTACCATCTTCTCACGGTTTCCGTTGAACAATAAGATGTACGTCAGATGTACATTAATACAAAATAATAATAACAAAATACAATTCTATTAAAAAAAATTCTAATATATTTAAATATTATTTTATTACAATTATTTTTAATAAAAAAAACGTACATATTGTCCAAGGGTGGAAAAATTGAGATAAAAATGTTAGATAAAAATTTAGATAAAAATATATAAAATTTGTTTTTGTATATGTTATATTCTCTTTTTTAAACAATATATAAACTTTTATAAAAAAAAGTCAATAGGAAAATATTATGTGTGATAATAAGTACCCAGTAAGCAAGAAACATTTGATCAACATTCTAAAATGTTGATTTTATATAAATTTTCGAAACATTATGATATAATGTTTTATAAATATTTTTAAAATATTCTAATAAACATATTAATAACATTTAAAAAATATTTTAATTTATGTTTTATAAATATTTTAAAAATGTTATTTAACAACATCCCTCTTAAAATATTAATAAAATATTTTAGAAACATTAGTCAAAATGTTTTTTATATGTTATTAATATGTTTATTATAAATAAAAATATAACATCCAGTTAAAAGTTCGTTCGCGTTGTTATTAAACGTCGTATTATTTATTTCATACATATTTTTAGACTATTTTTTTTTTATAATATATCTTAATTTCTTTCTCATGATAGGCATGACGACATCTAATATGTTACTGAGAAACAACATTCGGTGGCATATGCGTATACACTCTATTGCGTATGCGTGATTTATTCTTTTGTTCTTTGACTTCGGAACATTCGTGCCGGTTGTCAGCGTGCGACATGTTCTTGCACGATCTCGCATAATAAGTAAGTTACAATGTTTTTGCGAGTTATAGTGCTGCACGAAATAAGAGGAAAGTGTTTCTTCCAGTGTGTTATAATATCTTGTAAGTTATTTTTAGAGATATGTCTAAATATTCGTTCTCAGATTTTTCAGTGAAAGTTCTAAAAGTAGTTCTTAAATTAATGTTAGAATTAATATTATTGTGATATTAATATTAAGTTATGTAGATGTTGATACTAATGTTATTTTATTATTGATTTAATTTTATGAGTGTACGCTCGTGTACGCTGTTGTTTTAACATACTGATAATGTTTCTCATAAAATTAAATCAATAATAAAATAACATTAGTATCAACATCTACATAATTTAATATTAATATCACAATAATATTAATTCTAACATTAATTTAAGAATTACTTTTAGAACTTTCATTGAAAAATCTGAGAACGAATATTTAGACATATCTCTAAAAATAACTTACAAGATATTATAACACACTGGAAGAAACACTTTCCTCTTCTTTCGTGCAGCACTATAAGTCGCAAAAACATTAACTTACTTATTATGTAAGATCGTGTAAGAACAGGTGGCACGCTGACAGCCGACACAAGTGTTCCAAAGTCAAAAGAATAAATCACGCATACGCAATAGAGCGTATACGCATATCCCACGGAATGTCCTTCTCAATAACGTATTAAGTGTCATCAAGGCCTTCTCGAGAAAGAAATTAAGATATATTATGAAAAAAAATAGTCTAAAGATATGTATGAAATAAATAATACGACGTTTAATAACAACGCGAACTTGTAACTAGATGTTATATTTTTATTTATAATAAACATATTAATAACATATAAAAAACATTTTGACTAATGTTTCTAAAATATTTTATTAATATTTTAAGAGGGATGTTATTAAATAACAATTTTAAAATATTTATAAAACATAAATTAAAATATTTTTTAAACGTTATTAATATGTTTATTAGAATATTTTAAAAATATTTATAAAACATTATATCATAATGTTTCGAAAATTTATATAAAATCAACATTTTAGAATGTTGATCAAATGTTTCTTACTGGAAATAGATCCTTCTCAAAAGAGGAGGAGATAGAAGCTAATCTAACCGGTTTTCTTTATCATGGATAACTGAAGGTAACCGAACCAATTAAAAATAGTGAAACGTCGCGCGTACATGAATGAGAACTTATGCCTTAATGCGCGAAAATAGTGTGGATACAAATTGTGCCGCCGCTGATTGTGACGCAGCGTGTGTAACCTGGTAGTTTTCTCGTACTTGACCGCCACGAAAATCTTCTGTGACCAAAATTCTCCTAAAAACGAGGTATTAAAAACCGGGAGTCGTTAATTAAAAGTCAATTAATAAAGAGTGCGAATCTGGACTAGTTACTAGTCAGCGCGACTATAACACTTAAAGTCTAATGGAACGAAGGAAGAGGCGAAAAGTGACTCGAAACTCCTGAGAAGGATTCCGAAATAAGATTTATTTAAAACTCAACTAAATTGTATACAAATCTAGTTAAATAGAATAATTATACCTCAAGGAGATTTAATTATGTCTCTATTAAGAATAAATTATTGTAACGTTGTCTATAAGTCAACGTAATCTATTGTCAACATTGTAATGCTTCCTATATGAAGTATATTATCCATGCATTTTATATGCATTTCAATGAGCGGTTAATTTATAAAAATAAATTTTATTTAATATCTATTTAAAATCTATTTTTAAAATCTATTTAATATCTATTTAAAATCTATTTTTATTCTAATTATGTTTATGTGCTATCAATTATATAACCTTTATTTTATTTATATCGATCAATGATTTATTTAAGTTTTTTTTCTTTTTTTAATTTAATTTGACATTCTTTTGTAAAGGATACACAAAGAATCGAAACATTTGTTCAATTACTTTTTAACACGTTTATAAAATTTTAATTATTACATTTATTCCATCCTAGGCTCCAATGATTCTTCTTTCTTTTTTTTAATTATAATTTGTCACAAAAGTCTCATTAATCCAATTAAAATTACTTTCGGAAAAAAGATAAAAACATATAAGCATGTTAAAGTTTTTCTTTATATTAATAAAAAAATAGAAAGAAAAATAATGTTACATTTAAAAAGAATAATGGAAAAAACTAAATTTATTTTTTTTCAACGTTTCTTCCTATTAAGAAAACAACTTTTTTACATCTTTATATATGACTTGATCGATTTATTTTCTAATGTTAATATATTTTTTTTCATAGGTACTGCGTAAAATTTGAAACACATATCAAAATGGAAACAACGAACGCACAAACCAATTCAGGACACGCACACGATGAGACTCACTCGAGAGGAAGTTCAATCGACACATTCTTCGCCGAAACGGTGATCTTTGTAACGGGTGCCACTGGTTTCTTAGGGAAAGCCCTCCTGGAGAAGCTGCTGCGCTCGTGTCCTCGTGTGGCTACAATTTTCGTTTTAATCCGTCCAAAAAGAAGTCAGTCCATCGAAGAACGCTTCAGGGAACTACTGGAAAATCCTGTTTGTATAGATATATTATATCGCTTATTATATCGCTTATCATATCGCAAGATCATTCGAAAAGAAAATATCGAAGTGCCCCAGTTTCATTAAGCTGAATAAAAAACTAATAAAAATAGTAACAAAGGATACATCGAAATTAAGAAAGTTAACAGAATTAGACTGTCGTTTAAATATACATTATGAAAAAAAAAACACACATAGATTGAAAATTTTAAAATTCTAAAAAAATTAAAGTCTCAGACAGTCTATTATTTTTGAAAGATGCCAAAATTAAGCTCTTTTGAAAAATAGAGATATATTCTCTCTTTCGAATAATCCTACATTATCGAATTTACAGAAATCTTACAAAGCTTCATTTTACCTCCTTTCTTTAATTTTTTCATAAATTAATTTTGCTGTATTCGCAGGTTGATATTCCTTATAGACGTAATAGTATGCGCACATATTAAAAATTAATGCTAATATTGATTTTGACTGTATAACTTCGTCTATAGAGGGGGTGATTCAAATATTTTATCTGTAGCATGCTTATACTTGAAGGAAGTGTCAAATACGGTCATCAAAACGAAAGATCGCGATTGTTACCATTCTCACGACTATTTCCCCTAATTATTATCTAATGAAGCTATGTCTGTTGATACGTATCGAGAAAAGTCGATAAAAAAATCGCGCCACAAATATTTTTCAGTACATGTAAAATAACAATACATATAAAGTAAGAAATATACCGAAAGTGAAAGTTGATAGAATTAGACTACCATTTAAATGTATGTCATAGGGGAAAAAACACACGTAAAAAATTTTAAAATTCTAAAAAAATTAAACCTTCAAACAGTCTATCAGCAGATATTTTTTATTTTATAATTTTTATTTTTTATTATTTTTTATTGTTACAAACTGCAGATTTATAAGTTGAAAGATGCGCATTTTTTGCGAAACAACGGTTCTCTCCTCTGTCGCAGGTTTTCGATAGAATACGATCGGAATTTCCTGGCGCCTTAAATAAGATCTTCCCCGTTAAGGGCGACGTGAGCATGCCGGAACTGGGACTTCAGCCCGAAGACAAGGATATGTTAATACAGCGAGTTAACATTGTTTTTCATAGTGCAGCCACCGTGCGTTTTAATGAGCCGTTGAAAGTGGCCGTTAATCTAAACACAAGAGGCACTGAACATATGCTAGACTTGTGTAGACACATGACGAACCTTATTAGCGTCATTCACGTTAGCACGGCCTACAGTAACGCCGATCGACAAGAAATTGAGGAATCGATATATATGTAAGCTTTCAATTATAGTTAAAAAAAAGTACAAATAAGAATTTTAATAAAACTATTTATTAACTATTATTAAATTATTTATTAAATTATTAAATTATTAAATTATTCCAAATTTATATTATTGCATTATTAAATTTTTATTTTTATATTATTACATTATATTATTATTTTAATATTACATTATATTATTATTATTATTATTTTTATTTTTATATTATTACATTATATTTTTATATTATTACTCTAAAAATTAATCTATTAATTTAGGCAAAGATTACTGCTACGGCAAAGGTGTAATATGCAAATCAAAATTTAAGAAAATAAACTTAAACTTTGGTCATTAAAAATCATGTCTATAATATAATAACATGTACAATTTCGTGCTCGCATACGTACGTTTCGTTTTATTTCAGGACCTTCTTAATGCTGATAGCGAAGATTACAAAAACAAATTACATATAGAAAAAGATCAAATCGGTCGCTCGCAATAGAATACAACAATTCAATACATAATAACGGTCAGAGTACAAAAAGATGACGACATCGAACGCAAAAAAAGAATTTTTAAGTCGTTACATTTTAAACAATAATGTTGAGAGTCAAATGAATATAATGAATAAATGTGAAATTAGAAATTCGAAAATAGAGACGGTGCGGCTATCTACACGCATGCACGCTGAATATGCTACTCACCTTCCAAGAAACACAGGGATCGCGACTGTGTGAAAAGCGGTGCAAAAAGCAGTGGCAAACAAGCATAGGACAGAGATACTGCATACCAATTAAGCCTTGCACGGCGTATAAAATCCGTCAAATTTTTTCAAATGATAGCACAGAATCTGAAAAATTAAGATGAGCAGAGCAACACATCCACATGCAAACATGTAGTAGCCAAAGCAAATAAGAACAAAAAATCATCCAGAAAAAGAATTTTTTAAAAAACATAAAATGAAATGCCAAAATATAACATACTTCATAAGAGAATAGTCTATCAGAGAAAAGTCAAAAATTATGTACAAAGAGAAATATGTAATAAGTAAAGCCAAATTGAAACTTAGTTAATCAGAGCTTTTTAAATATTAATGATGCGCAATTATTGGAACATTGAGAATAAGCAATTATTTGAACATTAAAAAATAAGCAAATGAAGGAAATGAATATCCCAGTGTAACAAAAAGCATATAAAGACAAGATTAATAGAGAATATTAAGAGAAGCTCAAATAAAATACATACAGGTGTTCGAACGCAGTCAATTAGCAATGTTAATGTTAATAGTAGCACTTCAAATCAATTATAATTTTGAGACGTAGAAATAGCGTGTATATCATGCGGGATCTCGCTGCGTACTGAAATTGCGAGGTATCGAAATGTACGGCATACCGAAGGCAGGGAGGAAGGAGGGGGACAGGCAAAAGAAATACAGGAGCGGATAAATAGATATAAAGGAAAACAAAAATAGCATAATCAGGGAGGCAGCTCCGATTATAGTGATTTAATAATCGGGATATAAATCTTATCAAATTTTTCGGTGTCTTTCTGCACATTCAAGCTGTCTTGTCTTATGATGTGAATCATTTCAGAAACTGACCTTCTCACAAAGGACGGTTCCCGATCTAGTATAATCACCTCATTCCAATCAAACTCATGTCCCTCAAGTCTGTGGAGGGAAACTACTGATAACTGTTCGGAAGAACCATTAATGTTAGAGCGATGTTCTTTGATACGAGTCTTCAATTGTCTTCCGGTCTGTCCAACGTAGGATGCCGTGCAGTCACAAGGGACCTTATAGACCACATTGGAGAGATTTTCCCTTGGAAGTTGGTCTTTATGTGCTTTAATTAAGCGATTCAATTTATTGGGAACAGAGTAGGCGAGAGACTTTTTTAAATTCGTCGCAACATCTTTAAAGTGCTCGGAGACACCCTTAATATAAGGAATGACGAAAAACGATTTAGAGGTGTCAGAGGTAGGAGGAAGTGGAGGGGCAAGGTTGTTATGGATAAGAGATTTAATTCTGTTGGTGATGGTAGAAAAAATGAAATTGATAACCGTTATCAAGGAGCAAATCAATTACCAGCTTAAAATTTTTTTCATGAAAACGTGGGTTCGACAGTTTAAAAATTTTGTCCGTAAGGCCAATTATGACGCCTTTTTTATGCGCTTGAGGGTGCTGCGAGAAAAAATTCAAAAATCTCCCAGAGAAAGTAGGCTTCATATACCAATCAAACTCAATGTGATTGTCATCAATGATGATGGTGACGTCTAAAAAAATTGAGACGGTCAGTCCCAGGAATTTCAATAGTAAACTTAAGTCTCTGATGGAAGGAGCTAAAAACTGTCATGATGAAATCAAAGGAGGAAGAGGGAGCAATCAAGGCAATGTCGTCTACATATCTAAAGTAAAAAGGAAGATGGAAGGGTAATTGCGACATGGCTTTTTCCTCAAGATTCTGTAAGACTAAATCTGTACAAACGGGGGAGAGGGGGGAACCCATGGGAGTCCCAAAAATTTGCTTATAAATCTTCCCGTTGAATTTGAAAAAAGTAGAATTCAGTACCAGCTTAAGGCCAATAGAGAATTCTAAGAGCGGAATCTTGATTTTGTTCTCCAAAAAATGCCAACGCTTTGTCACACTGTCAACAATCAAGTCTGTAGGCACATTTGAGAACAATGAAACAACATCTAAAGAAGCTAATTTAAGATGGTCATCGACGTGGAAATAATTAATTTTATCGACAAGCTCATAACTGTTGGCAATATGACTATTAGAAAGAGGAAGGTTTTCATGAAGGCAATTATGTAGGAAAGTCGCAAACTTATGAAGAGGACTATTTATGGACGACACTATGATTCTTAAAAGGAAGCCAGGTTTATGGATCTTCGGTAAACCATATGCTCTAGGTAGCATACCGTCACTGGTGTAAAGCGAACGTTTCGTTAGAGCTGAGATGTAATTATTTCGTTGCCACCGTTTCAGAATATCATTGAGCTCTCTACATATTTTTGATGTGGGATCCTTATTTATGACAATATAATATCCGTATCATTCAGCAATTCATTCATTTTCGAAACGAAAATGTTATGTATTGAATTGTTGTATTCTATTGCGAGCGACCGATTTGATCTTTTTCTATATGTAATTTGTTTTTGTAATCTTCGCTATCAGCATTGAGAAGATCCTGGAATAGGACGAAACGTACGTATGCGAGCACGAAATTGTACATGTTATTATATTATAGACATGATTTTTAATGACCAAAATTTAAGTTTATTTTCTTAAATTTTGATTTGCATATTACACATTTGCCGTAGCAGTAATCTTTGCCTAAATTAATAGATTAATTTTTAGAGTTATTTAATACCTGCTACTTTCATAATAATTTTATTATATTATTACATTATTAAATTTTATTAAATTATTAAATTATTCCAAAATTATATTATTACAACACAAACAGTATTTATTAGGTTATTCATTTTTATACATTTATATTGTATATTTTTCTATTTTATTTTTTTATACATGATACGAACCAGACTCTGCAAAATTAAATTCGTTTTTCGAAGCGCGATAATAAATATATATTTAATAAAGCATATGCTGTAGAAAAATATCCTTATAACGATACACATTGCCAATATTACAGCACGGAGATAAAGCCATACACAGTAATCGATATGTGCGAAAATTTGGATGACGAAACGATAGGAATAATAGAGAAGAAATTAATCGGTAATCATCCAAATACTTATACGTTGACCAAAGGTTTGGCAGAGCAGATTGTGCTGTCCAAGGGAAGCGATTTACCAATCGCGATCGTACGACCGAGTATAGTTGGCGCAGCGTATCAAGAACCATTTCCAGGATGGGTAGATAATGTTTACGGTATTACAGGTATAATCTATATTGAAAAAGTGATTGAAAATTGATTGAAATTTTGACAGGAAACCTACTCGGGAAAAAAGTTCACACATATACGTAAAATCAAATATAAATAATAAATCATATCCATGTATGTTTTTTCTCTTGTATAATAAATTCTATTTATATATAAAAAAGAATCAGAAAAATAATTGAGAATAAATTAGAGGAGATTAATTGTAATATACAGGGTGTCCTAGACCATCCCTTTTAAAATGAAAATAAATGGCTTTTCTCAAAAATCGCGAACAATTTTTAAGTAAATCGGATACGATATATCAAATGATGATATTTTGAACTTTTGATTCCCATCCGAAATACGCCATCCGGATTGAAAGTTGAATTTTTTTAGGGGAATATGGTACTTTCTGTTACAGATTCGAATTGTACATGAAAAAATAAGAAACTTTTGTATTAAACGTTTTTTCTGAAAGTGCCTCTGTCAGTTTTAAAATTGACCTTGAAAATAACTGTGATGAAATAATAAAGATCAATTTTAGGATTGACAGAGGCACTTTCAGAAAAACGTTTGATACAAAAGTTTCTTATTTCTTCACGAATTGATTTCTCTCATTATTTTGTACATAAAAGTATTAAGGCAAGATAATCGAAAAATGAAATATTTTACTAGATTTATTACGGTTTATGTTAAATTAAGAAATGATTTCAAGCCTCATAACTCGAAAAGTACTCAATAAAAAAATATTTTAATATAGTGTTTTGGAAAGCTCTCGAGATAAGCTACAAGAATATGTAATGAGAAAATGTAGGTTCCATTTAAGAAATTGAAGGTGACCTTCATGTGACCTTCAAATAACTCTTCAAGGTCAAACCAATGGTGCCATCTGATGTCCCCCTAGAAACCATACAACTTTTGTCTGAAACATTTTTTCGATTTTTCATTATTTTCCGAAATATTTGACTGGGGAAATTAAAATGGGTCATCCTGTATATAATTAATCGCTCATATAACATGTTCGTGACATTAGCTTGAAGAATTTTATTAAAAACGAATTATTATATAATGAAGAATAAAAATATTAAAAGTTTAAATTGTATAAAATGAACCGAACATTTCTAATAAATTAATTTTCTTCTATTAATTATATAGACGTGTATACAGAAAAAAACAAGTGTCAAATCAAAACTTATATACTTAAACTAACGCGTTTATTGTTTCGTATATACGCAACAATCTATAATCTTCTTAGAAGAATTTAATAATTTTAAATTTTAACAATATTATAGTTTTATTTTAATATTGTAATTGTCACCTCAAGAATATATAATTATTTAATTTCACTTTAAGAAAATTATAATCTTCGATTTAAAAATGTTATTATCCAGCATTGTTTCTTTTCCATTCAAGAAAATTAAATCTTAAATCATAAGAATATAAAAATAATAAATATAATAACAATTAAAAGGCTCGTGTATTGCAATGCAAAAATAAACAGATTAACATTAAAGGGCCGCGCGCGACAATACGAGCAAATTAATAAGATAGAAATAAAAATAAATAAAACAATTAATTATAAGTTCGTTTAATTAAAAGATCGCAAACGTTTCGACTTAACTTAGTCTTCTTCTGTATGATAACAACTGTATGATTTAAACATCTTTTAATTAAACGAACTTATAATTAATTGTTTTATTTATTTTTATTTCTATCTTATTAATTTGCTCGTATTGTCGCGCGGCGCGGTCCTTTAATGTTAATTTGTTTATTTTTGCATAAGAATATATTTTTCTTGATTGAATTATATAAAATGGCTTCATTCAAGTAAGCAATTATTCAAGCAATTATATTTTTCTTTAATTAACGCAATATAATCTCATTTCAATAGATTTCCATATTAAAACTAAATATATTTTCAAAACAGAAGATTGTCCTTTTTTTCTGTGTACATATATACTATATTCTATTATTTGATTAGGTATAATGACAGAGATAGGTAGAGGTACTATTAGGAGCATCATATGCAACGCAAATTTAGTAGTAGACGTTGTACCTGTCGATTTTGTTGTCGATACATTAATATGCGCGTCTTGGTATAACGCTACGCAACGTTCCGATACGATAAGGATTTATAATTGTACCAGCAGCTCATTGCATCCAATCACGTGCGTATATGAAAAACTGGTATATAGTATAATATAGTATAATATAACGTAATGAAGCAATAAATAAAAGTATGATGTTTATATGATATTTAAGGATATAGTGAGAGACACTATCAAAAAAAAATGTGTGATTTTGCAGATGGCATGAATTCGGACATCTTACGAGGAAGCACGCTATAGAATCTCCATCGAAATACGTCATGTGGTATCCAGACTTTACGTTTAGAACAAACAAATTCATTCACACTATCATGGTAGCTATGTTGCACTTCTTACCTGCATTCATCGTAGATCTTATATTAAGGGTCCAAGGTTATAAACCTATGTAAGTGCTTTCTTTCTCTTGTTCTAACCAATTATATTTATAATAATAAATTCTAAATTATAATAAATTATAATAAATTCTAATAATAAATTTATTATAATAAAAATTATAATAAATTCTAAAT